GCCACCTTCGACTTCATGGGGAATCTTCGTGGGAAAAACAATCGAGTGAGATGTGTAGGACTGCATTATTTCCGATGATAAACTAACATAACTATGGAAAATCACAATTTTAATTGGGAAAACTCACTATAAATGGCCATTTTCAATAGCTATGTTAAAACTTATACAACCACAACATATCCCAATTATACACAGCATATCTAGCGCTAATCTTAGGCACCTCGGATCCCCCGATGTTCTCAGCAGGCAGACTGGGAAGAGCGTGGGAATTCTGCATGATGTGGTCCCATCAATTAGGATGTCAAGGCAAGGCCAATGGGACCACAGCAATAGTGGTTCATAGTGGTTCATAGTGGTTACTAATGATTAATAATCGTTAGCAGTGGTCAATAGTTGTTGTTTATAATGCTTAAGAATGGTTAATAATGGTAGTTGATAATGATATACCCTCTGGTAATTTGTTACATAGCTATTGAACATTGCCCATTTAGTTCGTTGATTTTTCCCATAAAAATGGTGATTTTCCATTGTTATGTTGGTCTACCAGAGGGTCATATCAAAATGCATTAACTGGGCAATTTGAAGGCTACCTAATTCAAACCGTAATACCCATAGCATCCATAGCTGAGAATGGTATCGGATGATGGTGTTCTGACAATACTTTGACGCTGCCGGTAGATGCTGATGATATCTGACGATCATGCTATGATCATAAGGACGTTGTTGTTGCTGTCGTTGGTGGTGGTAGTTGTGCGTTTGAAAACCTCCAAGTCTTTCCAAAACTAATCATCATGACTAATCTGCACCAAACAGATAGTAGCGGTAATATTATGCCGGCAATGCCCACCAGTTCATCGTTAAAGAGATATATACATATATATATATGGCCGATCTTAGAAACCCTGCAAAAAATGACAGATTCTTAGCTGGTGAACGTAGATAATCCATTGATACCAAAAGACTAAAGGATTAGTCCCTACCCATCCAGTCGATTGACCTAGTGTATATCTATTGTTGCTTATATGTACATTGTTGCTTATATGGAGGTTTCCTAAAATTATTCACCATTATTAATTATTAACAATATTAAACCATATTCCATCCAGTCGGTTGACCTAGATATATTCCCATTATATTCCCATATAAATATACTGGTTGGTGGTATACGTACCCCGCTGAAAAATATGAGTTCGTCAGATGGGATTATTCTTCCTAATATATGGAAAAATAAAATTCATGTTCCAAACCACCAGATAAGATTATATCAATAATAATGGCATATATATATACACATACATAATGTGGTTAATACAATTTCATAAACCATCCCCCAGTCATCACCATAAATGGGTGCTATAGGTCAAAATGGAGTAATATATCAATAAGATATTATTATGGTGGATTATATATATAAATAAGGGCATATATTATGGGTATATCAGTTATACATATATATATATATATTTTTTTTGGGTGGTAGTATATATATATCTGGGTAAATTGCAATATTTCACTAACCTGGATTAAGGCCATTTGGGTATGATTTCCCTTATTAACCATGATTCCAGGGCTCGGTCGCAGTGAGGTCGTTATAATTTACCCATATAGATATATCATCACTATATATCAACAACTATATTTATCATTATTAACCATATATTAACTATATTATCATCACTATATAGGTTAACTATATAGGTTATATCTCCAAACATAATGGTTATATCCCATATATTAACTATAATGGCATATTAATTAATATAGTTAACCAATAATAAATATGCCATTATAGTTAATAACATTAACTATATAGTTAATATCCCATTTATTATTGTTTTAACCACATGATATTTATTCTTTGGATCATCCCAGTGGGACCCAGAAGGGGCGATGGATGGGGCATCAGGATGGGCCCCCGGATTGCCGTGGCGGTGCCGTGGCGTTTTGGCGTTCAGTTGGCCGATGGTTTTACGGAAGAGCCGTGGCTGAATTCTATGGTTTATGGCAGATATAAGAAACTTGTTAGTGGAGGTTATAGTGGTTTATAAACCAACTTATAACATCTTATAACTGGGGGGGCCCATCCTGCAGGAAAATGAGCGATTTACCAAGTGGGATGATCATTGGATGAGGATGCAAGTACTGTACTGATTTGGATGCTTTCTTGTATAGCAACCCCCAAGAATATCATTCTTTTCGATGATTTTACTTGGATTTCTCTATCTTTTGGGGGGTGACTAAAAAAACACCTACTGGTTGGTGGTATACCTACCTACCCCTCTGAAAAATATGAAAGTCAGTTGGGGTTACTATTCCCAGTATATGGAAAAAACATGTTCCAAACCACCAACCAGCCTACATATCACAATTGCCAGCAAAAAGAAGCTTCACAGTCCATCTGCTAGGGAAGCAGCTCGTGTCATGGGACCGACTGCATCGGAACCAGCATCTGTGGCACCGCACCCCGCGGCGTCGTTTGACGCGGCAGCAGCGGGACCGGGCAGAGCCACAGACCGGGGAAGAGTTTGACCGGTGGACGGAGCAGCTGTGGCCGGCATCTAAAGTAGCTTGGGTCCATCGGTTTTTAGGTTCATCCCAGGCATCATAAATAGTTTATAACCCAGATATAGAGATATGAATAGTTCATTTAATACTTGGGATATTTCCAAAGAATAGTTGGCATTTGTTCTAGGCTGACCATTTTTTCTAAGTGGGATGCACATCGCAGTTGTGGTGAAGCAATTGGCCAAACTATGGGGGATTTTTCAGTGATTTTTTTGCAGCAAGAATCAGTGAACTTCACCAGCAAAAGTTTATCGGTGAGCAAAAGTTCTTGCAAAAAGGTCGTTCACAAACTATCGTGAACTACATAGTTTTTGCATGTTTTTAAGCGTTATTGAGTTATCACTATATCTAGTTGACAAGACCTCTTCAGTAAGGGTTTCTCGAGTAAGATAATTGAGTTGACTTGGCTTGACTATGTCTTTTTATAGTTCATGGAGGTTATTTTCTCAACTTCATGGTGAATCTTAGATACCCCAAAAAAATCTCATTCTTAGCCGGTAAATGTACATTTAACATCATAAATAAAGTTTTAACATAACTCACCAGTCGGCAAGGAGCCAACCGCTCCTTGCGTTTTAACGGTTGGTGGATCCTCCAGGATCGGATCATAACAAGCCACCAGGATCAAGGGATCAATACTTGGTGGCTCATCTTACGAATCCTAAGTTCACTGGATTGGTTTAAGGGAAAATCTTAACCGGAAACCATGGTTTTTACCATCAAATTGTTTGGGCTTTCCGGTTAAAATTTTCCCATAATCCAATTCTATGATAAGTAGGTTATAACCCTGGTTTTTTCAGTGGGATAAGTAGGGTTAGTCCACTGAAATAACTAGGGTGAACTAACCTACAAAGTGGGATGAGCCACCAAGTACTGGTTAGTGGTTGAGCCCTACCCCTCTGAAAAAAATGAGGACTCGTCAGTTGGGATGATGACATTCCCAATAGGAAAAAAACATGGTCCAAACCACCAACCAGAATAATATGGATCAATAAAAAATCCCAGGGATTTTTCCAGCATGAATTTTCCGGAGCATTTGTTTATTTTGGGATGTATTGGAAGGGTATGGTAAAGGATCTGATAGTGTCGGATTTTTTGAATCGGTGGTGAACGCCCATCTTTTTGGCACCCCAAAAAACCCAAACATGATAGTGTATGGCTTGGAGGATCAAACCAGGTAAATAACCCTGGCTACTACCCTCTGGTAAAAATACAAAAAACTATGGAAAAACACAACTTTTCATGGGAAAATCCACTATTTCTATGGCCATTTTCAATAGCTTTTTGTTAGTTTACCAGAGTACTAAGCCCCCTAGGCTATCCCATTTATAAGTGGCTTATTCTTACGACCATTTACTAACCGCTAAAACTGATCCTCCAATGGGTCATCACAATACCGGTGCTCCACCAGCCGCCTAAATAAAGGACCTTCACCGGCACCGCTTGAAATACCATGGCCGGTCTGTCTGAATACCATGGGAGACCTCAAAACATGGCCTAAATTTTCATGAGAACATGATGAGAACATGGGATTTTCGGGCACTTTTTCAGACACAGCCATGTTTGGCACATGGCTCACCACACTTGTCCGTGTTTCTGTGGGATGCCGTGCTAGTCAGCCCCTTGTACTGGTTGCCCATGGATGTCCTATCCTTCTTGGAGGTGCGCTCTGCCGGTTATGGATATCATCATGGTGAACGGTGAACCCTCATATTAGTTGGGATATTTTTCCATGATATGACCCCGAAAAAAAGTACTTATAACTATAGTAACTATAATTAGTTTTTTTTTTTTAAAAAAATAAAAAATCCCAACTGATATTACCAACATTTTTTTGACCGAAAATGACCCCTCATTAATTAGTTCATATTAATCCACGGTAATAACTGGACCTTGAGGTTTGCCCATCACCGTCCCCTTGAGGGCGTTGCGCTAACGAATCCCATGGGATCAACAGCCTGGTGAAATCCATTCCATGTTCCCAATGTGAAAAACATGATTTTAGTCAGCCATGTTCAACAAGATAGATACACACATTCCATCATAATATATATATATACACATATACATATAAATATATATGTATATATATATATATATGTATATATATATACATATATTCACATTCAATATATTTCAACGTTGGTACTTCATCTAAGCAATTTCTGGTGGAACATCCTGATATTCAACAAGACAATCATCAACACAGGCGGCATTTTCTGTTTCCAAGATTGATTACCAGAGAGTAAGTGGGGATTTGCCAAGTAACAATCGCGCTTACATGTGAATTATGATCCCATATGTACTTGCCTTTTTTCTCAGGCATACGGTATATGTCTCAACATAGATTATCATATATATATACATATATGCATACTGTATAGATAGAAATAATCATCACCCTATACATGGCTGCATACTATAACGTTGAGATAAGCGCAAATGCATTGCAGGTCATGAACAGTCATGTTGAATCTGGTTGAGCTATGCCCTTTGCCGGTGCTAAGTTTCACAACTCACGTCCTCACGTCCTACGGACGTTTCAAATTTTGGAGGCCTCAGAAACAGCACATTGCTTGTGCTGAAATTGCAATCTTTGCTGCTTAAATCCCAGTTTCTTTGGATTATATAGATTCCCATTTTCACTTGTTAGCTCCGCACGGTCGCTGGTGATCCCCAATTCTCTCTGGGCAAGAAAATCGGAAAGCCTATATCAACACCGACTTTGGGTTTCTTCCTAGTTCATGATTGCAAAACATCCGCAATTCCCAGTATACCGCTATCATCCCCAATTTCTCTATTGTGGCGATGCTGCGTATCTCCTCTTCATTGCTTTAAAGGTAGCCCCTGATGTAACCAGCCAGTGGGATCATCATCCCACCATTTCTATGCTTAAATGGAAAATAGATCATGTTTGAAACCACTAGCCAGCTAGAGGAATTATAATTATATGCCATATATGGGCCATATTATAGGCTATATATATATGCATATATAGGCTATATGAACTAGGTAGAAGTACTGGATATATCCCACACATAATTGGGGCCAAGGTTGTGCATCAAAAGAACAAGAAGTAGCCTCTGGGAAACGAACAGTTTGCTATTGGAGCCATGTCCGTTTAGAAACAAAAATGGTGGATCTTTCCATCGTGTTTTGTATGTTTACCAGAGGGTAACTCCCTGCATCCCATCTAACCATTTGATATCAACCGATTATCAACCCAGTTAGCCATGAGGGGTATTTATATATTATATATATATAAGTTTTTTTAAATATATATACATGTATCTATCTATGTAAAATATGCACTTCCCAGCGCAACGCCGAGCTTCCGTATTTATTTTTTCGCTTCAGCATCGCCTAGCTTCGTGAGAGATCGTCGTGGCAAGTATCGGAAGTTTCCAGGCAGTTTGTGGGTCCAAAATGATGAACAACATGGATTTAACCCACCAAAAATGGGACTTGATCAAGCAAAAATTTCAAAATGTAACCAGCAAACTTTGACCTGTAGGATTTAACCCACCAAAAATTGCATAGGACTTAACTTCATTTACCCTCTGGCAAACTAACATAGCTATGGAACATGGCCATAGAAATAGTGAGTTTTCCCATGAAAAATGGTGATTTTCCATAGTTTTTTGTATGTTTACCAGAGGGTAACCAACTAAACATAGGAATTCACCACCACAGGATTTATGCAAACATCATGGCTACATCGATCCATATCGATCCCTTTCCTGATTGATGACCATCACCCAATGCGAACCAAGGCGCCCGCTGTCGCATGCGCACCATTGAGAAGCCTAGGCAGCCCAGCGCCAAGATTGGCGCCAGTAGCCATGCGATTCCTGGGCGTTTTGAGGGATCAGAAACCAGCAGAGTTCCGCAAAATCCATCGAATGTGGGATCAGTTCCGCTTGAGATTTCACCAGAATTCGAATCATAAAGTTGGGATTTCTCAGCAAACATTGGGATTTTACCAACATTTCTATGCTTAAAGCATCAAGCACAGCATTTTTATCAACCAAACAAACAGACTTGGAGACACAAATAACAAAGTCTATGAAGGCTGGTAACACCGATCCCCACAGGGGCCTGTCAGTTATGTTTGTTGGTTTATAGACCCCATGAACTATAGTTGGTTATAATGGTTTAAATGGTGATTTTCCATAGTTAATAGTGGTTAATTGTGGTGAATGGATGGTGAATAATGGATAATAATGGTTATAATAACATAGCTAATGTCACCCCTGGATGAATAAACCCCGTACCCCCCTAGTTAATAAACTATAGTTTATTAATCCGGGGTTGGCATTATGGAGTTTCCCGTAAATGGGGTACCTCCAATAGCTGGATGGTTTATAAAAGAAAATCCCAATCTAACATGGATGATTTCGGGGTACCCCTATTTTACGAAACCCCCGTATATATGGTCCAGCGTTCCAACCCCCCTCCCCCCCCGGCCATGGTCATGGGTCATGCATAGTACTGTCCCCCTCCCCCCCTGTGGTGTGGTGGGGGTGTGGTACATATATATATATATATATATGTATACTTGCAAATATATATATATATGTATATGTATGTATATATATATATGTATACTTGCACATATATATATATATAAAGATAGACATGTATATATATATATATAGGTTGATAAATATGTATACATGCAAAAATAAATCAATATGTATATATATTATATATATACGTATATATATATATATATATATACATATGTATATATATATATATGGGAAGTAGATACATAGCACATGTAGATATGACTATAGGTAGCACGTAGGTACTTTGAGGGAGCATGTGTGCTACGCAGGTCGTCTAAAAGGTAGCATGTACCTAGTGAATGCCAGGCTGGTAGTCAGAAATGCTGCCAATAGCTTGCAAATAGAAGGGAAGGGGGTGCTACCTGGGGACCCAACCCGGGGGGGTAGGAACACGGAACACGAGACCATATATATATATATATATGTATATATATATATGTATATATATATATGTATATATATATGTATATATATATATATATATATCTACCATAAACCATAGTTAATTCAGCCACAGCCATATCTCAGCTGAACGCTATATTTAGCTATCTGAAGGGGGCCCATTTCTTTGGATCTTATGGGGCACAGCGTAGATCCCAACTGGTGGAGGTTAAAATCCCATAGTGAAAATCCCACAAGACAAGAAAAAGCCCCAAGTGCCAAGTAATTTTCCCACCAACCAAACATGTTTCCTATTAAACTGTTAGGACTTGAGCTATTCAAATTAAGTTATACTATAACCCTGAAGTCGCAACCAGTTACAATCCAACTTAGTAACTAGTCGCGTCAAGGATCTCCCATAGCCCGCCAGACGTCCCGCCAGAGGTGTCTGTAGTGGTGGCACAGCGTTAGCCCATTGACCAATGGAATCGAGCATGGCCTGAGCATTGCGGAGAAACAGCAGGGATGATGAATATATTTGGATCTCTCTAATGAAGCGATACATATTTCTAACTTGGAGTAATATTAGAAATATCTAGTAGCATGAATAATATGAAGTTCTATCAGTTAGTTGGGAAATATTTGGGTAATGATACACTTGTGAGATATGTTTTGGTTCTTTTGAACTATTTAAGATTTTCTGTATATGTCGTCTGAATTTTGAAATATACAGATAGAAAGAGCACATACATTTTGGAATCATATAATACCACATATGATATTTTTCAAGGACTTTTGGAATATAGCCTCATGTAAGAACACACAATAATGAAAAGAATATGCGAAAACATGCTTATCTTTCCCAACGTCAAGTGACACCAATGAACGTTCATTTTATGACTGCAATTTTTGATGCTTAATCATAACTGTCTCATTACAATGGATGCTTGGAGGTAGGCGTCACCGCTGCGTGACTGCATATTTCATAGCCATCAGGATCTGTGATGCTGCCATCCTACTCCGAGGAAGTTGAAAGGATCTCACGGTTGGCCTTGGGGATGGGGATGTCTTAATCGGAGTACAATGGGAATGTCCATCTTTTTTTGAACAGGATGGGTCCCCCCAGTGATGTGAACGTTGGTTTAGATTCACCCCATGGATACTATAGTTATCTAGTTCGCTATCTCTACCATAAACCATAGAATTCAGCCACAGCCATATCTCAACTGAACGGTATCGAATTGCTCCATAAAATGGCCACAGAAAAATGCGGAGCATGTTGATGAGCCATGGGATTTCGCGGGTTTTCCCCTAGATTTTCAGCTGTCTAACGAAATACCCAGCACGATCCCTATTTTGGAGGTTTAAATCATTCAAATCCAAATTTTTCATGGTCAACATCGCCAACTTAAGTGCATTCTGAAATGTGAGCTGATTGTCCTATCCCAACAAACAAAAAACCGCAAAAATAAAACACGACATAGAAAAAATGGCTGATAAATCGCGCAGCCAAGGTCACTTCTTTCACACTCATGGTTCGGTGCATTTTCTGCGTCGCGTTCGGGTGCACCAAGCAAGTATACAACGCCTAAGGGCTATGATCTGCTGCGAGTTCATCCATTGTTGGGTTTCAACTTCACAATCCACAACCTTTCAAAGTCACATTCAAATCTTGTGGCTATTTGTGGATATATATATATAATATAATATATATATAATATAATATATATATATATATATTAATATCTACCATAAACCTTCATAAAGCCGAGACATTTCCCCGATTTTCACCCAAAAACTTGGCGCTGTCGGACGCAGCACAGCTTTGTTTTTGGCCCAGGGACTTGCACCATGGGCCGAATCAAATCGCCAGTATCCCTTCGAAATGCATCCATATGTCGAACAGCATTGCCCCACATGGCAATGTCCTGGATGTTTCGTGGGTGCCGTGCCGCCCTTTAACGTTTACAAAAAACGATGGAAAGATCCACCATTTTTAATGGGAAAATCAACGATTTCTATGGTAAACATACCAACACCAATGGAACATCACCATTTTTAATGGGAAAATCAACGATTTCTATGGTCATTTTCAATAGCGAACTGTCAGTCATTACCAGAGGAGGAGCCATGAAGTTGGATGCCAGCAAAAAAGACCGGGGAAATTCTTCAATCGGTACCATTGCCAGTTCAACATCGTCATCCCCAATACACCTCCCAATCGATCGTTCCTATGTTGAAACGTTTTTCGCAACTCTTGGCCGCGATTTCTGTTGGCTACCCCTACATGTGTTGCTCCTATTCTTAAGGATTGGTTGTATCTCCGTCACTGCTTTTATTCACCCTGGACCATGGTGTTGATCAATCTACTCATGTTTGTGACCCCAAGGATAAAATCAGGTATGATCTACAGGATGCGGCCCCCAGTTATAAGTTGGTTTATAAACCCTATTAACCATAGATATCTATAGCTATATCTACCATAAACCATAATTCCTATCTTGGGGGCCCCATCCTGTATGATTTCGGGCTTATATTAAAGACACAGCATAGTTGATCTTAGCACAAAATCGAACTCTTGGCTGGATGCTTCAGTCGGATTATTTGACTGCCCTTTGCAAGTTGGTCGTGATCAAATAAATGTATTGGTTTCCATCGCCAATCAGCCAGATACCCTGCAAAAAATGACAGATTCTTAGCTGGAGATAATCCCATACCAAAAGACTAAAGGATTAGTTTCTGGTAATATCTGGTAATTTAACAGTTCGCTATTGAAAATGGTCCAGAGAAATAGTGGATTTACCCACTAATGGCGCTGATTTTCCATCCAGTCGATTGACCGATTGTTCCTACCAGGTACATCCCGAGTTTAGCTGAGCCAAGAAAATCGTGCGAAACGTCCATCCTTGAAAACCAAGGTTTACCACACTTTTTGGCAATGCCATATATAGCAATTCTTCGTAACTTCAGTGCCAATTTTCATCGTTAAATAGGGATTCTCAATCAAATCACCATACAAAATCGCTCAACAAATCAAATCACCATGAAATCACCAAACAAATCCTTGAACAAAATCAAAATCAGCATCAAAAAAACCTGGTTGGTGGTGCAATAATCATCTTGAAAAACGATGGAGTTCGTCAATGGGAAGGATGATGACATCCCATATCTGAATATATATGAAATGGAAAAGAATCCAAATGTTCCAAACCATCAACCAGACACATCAGACACCGCCATCAAATCACCAATAAATTCGCCATCAAATGGCAGTGTGTCAAAACCCATGTTGTACCCCTTCTGTTCACATCAAAATAGCTGGGATTTATGGATGTTCATCCCACTCAAAATGGTATTTTCATAGCTATTCATCATTATTAACCAGTATTAACCATTAATAATCCCCATATTCCCATTAACAATCCCCATTAACAATCCCCAAGCTATTGATCCATACCCAAATCCCAACTCTCCGTAATTCTCCACCGAAAAAAGGCCACGCCAAATCGCCGCGTGTTCGGCCGAGGCGCCATGCAGGACCTCCGTCGCACTTCCGCATCGTCGAAGGCCATGGTGCTCACCTGCTACAAATGCTGCTGGTGATATCGATTTGGGATTTGGGTATGGATCAATAGCTATGAAAATACCATTTTGAGTGGGTTATTCACATCCATTTTAACCCAGCTATTTTGATGTGAACAAAAAAGGGGTACAACATGGGTTTTGACACACTGCCATATCAACCCTTTATAATAAACAATCCCCAAAATCACCATAAATGGGTGGTCTAAGCCATGTAAACTTTCCTTTCTGGGTGCTGAGTTTGACAGATACCATGCAATGAAATTATGTGGGTGATATATCATGATATTCCCGTTCTAGTTCCATTTCCCATCAAAAACCTATGATATTTTCCCATTGCCAATGGAACCTTCATAGATTTTTCTGGCTTAATGGGCATATATTGGGAATATAATGTGAAATTTGTTTCATTGCCAATTTGGTTGGTGGTTTCAACCCCTCTGAAAAATATGAGTTCGTCAGTTGGGAGTATTATTCCCAAAATATGGAAGATTAAAATTCATGTTCCAAACCACCAACCAGATATAAACCGTTTCCATACAGGATGGGGCCCCTTCAGATAGCTATAAGTGGGTGGTATGAACCATCTCCAAATGGTAGGTTATTGTTGGGTTGCCCACACATTTCTTCATTGTCATCGAATAATTAGTCAATATCCTTCAGGATGGGGCCCCCAAGATAGCTAAGTTGAGATATAAGTGGCTGAATTTTATGGTTTATGGTAGGTATAACGAACTAGATAACTATAGTACTCATGGGGTGAATCTAAACCAACGTTCACATCACTGGGGGCCCCATCCTGTAACCATCAGATTGGATAATAGGATTAATAGTAATACTATAATAACCATCATTATTAATACCATTTACCCTATGGTAAATTAACATCGACCCTGGCAGGTAGGGGTTGGAAGATTAGTTTCCATTAAACTAGGCTATTTTCAGGGTCTATGTTAATTTACCAGAGGGTAATAGGATTAATAGGCATATCACCAATCCATATTATGCTTATCCTATATACATTTATCAATCTGATTAGGACTAATAATCCAGATAGGAATAATTACTTTTAAGGATAATAGGATTAAGAGGATTAATAGTTATAATGATATTAATATCTTAATAACCATAATATATAATAATATTAAATATTCTAATGACCATCGGCATAAATATATGGAAATAACATGAAAGAATGAGTTCATGGAATATTCACATCTTATTATACAACATCTTAATAACAATAGGAATAATATAATGATTAGTAGGAATAGATTAACAGGACTGATAACGATGAATATATCGATGAATACAAAATAATTATTTCAATAACCTGAATAGGAATAGGAATAAGTCATGATAATTGTTACGAAAACTATGGTCAATAAGGGTTAGTAATACTATAATGACCATCATTATTAATACCAATTACCATCATGTAAATTAACATAGACTCTGGCAAAATAGGGTTTGGAAGATTAGTGAAACCACCAAAAACGGGTTATTGTCAGGTCAAACTGTGAATTTACCAGAGGGTAATATCCCGTTTCCTACAAAGAAATAATCATAATAATCATAAAAATTGGAATGCATGAGTCATGGCAAGCATTATGTAATTCGTGATAATCATAATTTTTAATTCATGCATAGATAATCACTGATAAAAAATGTTTTGAATCAATTATCATTATATCAATTGCCAATAATGGAATTGATTTTTGTGGGTTAATAGTGAGTTTCTATTATGGTTATCAACCACTGGATAGTATTAAAAAACCGTTAGAATGGTATGATAATTAATGGTGATTAAGAATCAATCCAAATGATAATCATAAGAAACCATAGTAACCCCAATTATCCAGTGGTGATGTCCATTATGATTAATGCTTGTTCAATAAGTCATTATTAATCAAAGTTGGTTGACACTAATCAATCATGCATGAATACTTAAGCAATACCTAATTTAAATGGGTAGTTACTATCAAATATACTTAACAATATATTCTTAACAACTGGATAGTACAATAGTATAATAGTATAATAGAAAAATAGTGTAATAGTATACTAGTATAATAGTATAATGGTGTAATAGTAAAATAGTACAGTATAATCGTATAATCGTATAATCGCACAATCATTAACTATCATTGGTTCCTAATTAATGGATCAAAAAAAATATACAAATTATATAGTGAATTGTATATATGGGGCCAATACCCTCTCAGCCAAGAACTCTTGAGAGGAACAAACATCTTTTTTTTTTGGAACGAGCCACAGATGCCGACGAGGCTGTGTTTTGGTTGCAAACCTGAGACGTGTCCATCGGTTTGGCCCCAAAGGCCCCCGCGAGGCCCCAAAGTTGGTGGCGATGGAATAACACCCGGAGGTAGAAATCGGAACGACAACATGGCATGTAGGAATGGTCCATTTATAGATGGTTTACCTATTAAAATATATATATATATCTGGTTGGCGGTTTGAATCATCTTGAAAAATATTGGACAATGGGAAGGACTATCCCATAGATTATGGAAAAAAAAATGTTCCAAGCCACCAACCAGTAAACATGTGGGCTATTGAACATCTGCTTTCAATTGGAACAGCCCGCTGTACTTGTGCCAGAATATACCAACCACAGGGAAAATGAGAGAACACCCCTGGTTGAATGACACCTGTTCGGCATCCAGATCAGTGGCCAGGAAGAATATCTTCAAGCATCCAGATCACTGGCGCGGAACAAATGGATCTCATTAAAAGGGAGCGATCGGTTTTGCATGAACCGTCTGATGTTGGTAAAGCAATAGGATCCACCATCCTCATACCATAAATGGGTGGTACATATAAACCAAAATATAGGTGGTGTGTTATATTTCAATGGATTGGTTTAAGGGAACATCTACCGGAAACCATCGATTTTCCTATGAAAATTGGGGCTTAAAGCAGTAAAATTTCTCTTAAACCAATCCATTGAATATTGCCTTTACTATGACAAGTCATTACCTGATCTCACCAAGGTTATTTGCAACTTGGGGGCTATAACCCTAACCCATCTTTTTCAGTGGGCAGGTGGGGCAGCGTCAAAATCTTACTCTGTTGTGAATTGAATATCTTCAGTGGCCAGAATTACCAGGTTGCCATGGCAAATGGTCCCTTTGGTTCGATTTACCCTCTGGTTATGTCAAAATAGCTATTGAAAATGGCCCATTTATAGTTGATTTGCCCATTCAAAATGGTGATTTTCCATAGTTATGTTAGTTGACCAGAGGGTATCCTTTTAATGGTGAAAAACCCATAGCAAACTGACAGTTTACCAGAGAGCAAGTATTTTCTGGGAGGTTTCCTGCAAAAGTAACCATCATTTACGCTGAGCTAGTCCAGATCGCAGCAACATGTTACCCATATCGATATATGCTAATATATATATACATACATGGAACATGTCCCATTTATAGACGATAAACATAATGATTTACCTATTAAACATGGTTATTTTCCATGGCTACGTTAAATAACCAGAGGGTATATATATATAGATCTATTGATGGCTGATATCAAGAATTTTGCAAGTTGTTGGTGGATATCCCATGATATACTTATTGGCGGACTCAACAAACTCTGAAATCGTGATCCGAATCTTCACCATCGAGGGGCTCACCACACTGGTCGAGGTTGGGTGAATCTCCATTATATTGTTACCCTCTGGTAAACTAACAGTTTGCTATAGAAAATGGCCCATTCATAGTTGATCTAGCTATTAAAATAGTGATTTTCCATAGCTATGTTAGCTTACCAGAGGGTACCCAACATCAACACCTTCGGTAGATATTGGATAATGTTATTGATAAATATCCCGGGATAACTGGTAATTTGGCACATGTCCCATGATTTAGTGTTGTTAACCGAATAATAAACAATCCCCAACATCACCTACTAATGGGTGGTATAAACCATCTCCAAATGGTAGGTTATTGTTGGGTTGCCCACACCTTTCTTCATTGTCATCGAATAATTAGACAATATCCTTCAGGATGGGGCCCCCAAGATAGCCAAGTTGAGATATAAGTGGCTTAACTATGGTTTATGGTAGATATAACTATAGATAACTCTAGATAACTATAGACAACTATAGTTAATGGGGTTTATAAACCAACTTATAACTGGGGGACGCCTCATCCAAGCAACGCCGCTCAGCACTGCGTCCAAATGAGTGCTGCCATACACGGCCCTGCAGCAGACATGTTTCCATTGGACCTAGTAGCTGGGTAAGATGTGATAGGAACTGCCTGGTATCAACCTATTTTTTTCTAATATATCCAAATATGATATACAAGCAAATGATCATATTAATTGTCACATATGATCACTAATATAAATGTACAATATATTATGTAGCAGAGTTTTGACCATTGAACACCTGAATCATATGGACATTCGGACCACAAGTTGAGACCACGGGCTTTTATTGGGCTGTGAATTTTTGGGGTAGGATTTTAGTAGCATTGCTGATCTGAAATTTTGAGGGAATCCCATGAATCAATAAACCGTTACCCTCCAGTAATCAAATGTAGCAATGGAACAGTAGCACCATTTGTAGCTGAAAAAACCCCGAGAAAACACTTCCAGCCGGGGATTTTCCAGCCATCGATGAAGCTATGCGGTCGTCTGGTCACTTTCACCAAGATTTTAGAAGCTTCAAATCTTCAACACATACAACACATAACACATGGAAGGCTGATTCACCAAGAAACCCCTGATCTGTATGGGAAGATTATGCGAACGGGGGTCTCATCATTGGTCCCTAGAAATTCAATGGGCCAAGTAGCTGTAGGACTCTCCAAAGCACACTGTTGTCGGCTGCATTCGGGTCCCGATGTTGAGTCCTGCACACTGTTGGCGGCTAGATCTGCGGGACACAGGAATCGTAAGTGGTTGGTAGATGCTACCCTAGAAAATATCCCATCTACAACTGGGTATATTCTATCTAATTATAACGGGGGAATATTCCATCTATAACTGGGGATATTCATTTAACTCTCAATACTCCACACACAAACTGGATTCTCATCTGGTTGGTTTTTACCAATTTACAATTCCTGGGATGCAGAAGTTTGAATTCTCAATGCCTCGCGATGGTTTGATATGTCTGGGTCAAAATCGAGTAATGTCAACCCCGGATTGATAAACCACGGTATGTTCATTATGGGGATAAGACCCAAATAGTGATAATCTGATACTTAGATGGTACCCCCCTAATTAAACAGCTGTTTGGGGTTTCTTAATCCAGAATTGACATTACCCTAGGGTTTGCCACTAGGAATACCTTGAATTGCCAGTCACAAGGGAGCCAGGGGCTCAAATTTGGATCGGAATGATCCATATGGGCCATGATTGATCGTGACATGATCAAGACATGATCAAGACATTGTATATGTGGTATGGCATCACTCCCATCATCGGAATATATATATATATATCTGGTTGGTGGTATACCTACCCCTCTGAAAAATATGAAAGTCAGTGAGAATGATTATTCCCAATATCTGGAAAAATATAAAATGTTCCAAACCACCAACCATATATATATATATACACGCACAAAAATCCCTATGAATGATTGATGACCTTCCGACCTTCTATGGCTGTGTAATGCATGGCACATATGGGGGCCATAATCGGAAACATCATGAAACATCCCCATCTGCCGCTTGTCCCATCACTGATGGCTATAGAACATGGCCCTTGTTGAAATAGTTGATTTACCTATCACTTAAAGATGGTGATTTCCAGTTCGCAAACTGTAAACGTTTACTTATTATAACCATTATTATCCATTATTCACCATCATGAAAACCACTATTAACCACTATTAACCATTTGTATTTTTTTTCGCCCATGTACTAACCACTTCTGATCCATGGGATGATCCAAGACTCCAACTTTGCCGGTGAATTCGATGGTGCTAGAGATTCAGATGTTTTTCTGTATATGATATCTGTAACTATGATATCGCTGGTATATCTGTAAGTATAATTTCCATATGGTGGTATATACTCTTCATATATATATATATATAACTATGATATACTGTAACACTGTATATAGATTAATGTAGATCATTATACTATCTATGTGGCTTTACAGAACAGGACCCCGCAACGGGGTACAGGGATCGCAGGGATCGCGATCGGGATCACCGTAGCTAGGTTACCCGGTCATCCCCAGGGGTCTTGCTGAAGCCCTCATCGTAGCCCGGACCACCAACTTCCAATAAGCGATCAAAGTATTTTCCTCGGTGGTCTTGGTAATGTCCTAATATTCCCATCATCATGTCCTGTCCATATTCTCAGACCATCTTCAGATTCATAGATGGTCCAGACAAAGATGTCAATTCAGATGTCTAAAAAATTCTATGAAAAGCGCCAAGGACTGGACAATGGGAATATTAGATGGGAATACATATACAATGGTAATGTTTTTTTTAAAATGAGAATGTATGGGATAACCAACAGCGCAGCGAGTCACCTAAAGGGACGTAAGTTCGGGCGTGAAAACATGTTTGATTTGGGTTGAACATGACAGAACCATGGTGATTGAATTGCAGCTTTCATGGGATTTTCCTTAGCCTCTGGTAAACTAACATAACTATGGAAAATCACCATGTTTAATGGGAAAACTCACTATCAATGGCCATTTTCAATAGCTATTTTGACATAACCAGAGGCTACCATGGACGACTTCGTTTGGGCATAGATTCGTGGGGTGTGTCGTCGGCGTTTTTTTTTGCGACTCTTGAGGTCTAGCCCAAGTATGTTCTCTTGTACCATCTGGTCATCAAACATGGAGGAGGAAAATCCCCCCATTCAAATAGGACATATGGGTATGGATCAATACCTATTAATACCATTTTTAGTGGGATGAACATCCATTTACCAGCTATTTTGATGTTCACCAGGGGTACAAGGTTTTGACACACTGCCATATGGCATTTCTAACATATATAATCCCCCCATGATATATTTCCTATGGAGTTTTTTGATGATTTTACCATAACAAAACTCCATTGGAAATTTATCATGGAAATAAACATAGGAAGTTTGGCAATGGATTATACCATAAATGGAAATATACCATACATGCCAATGAGGATGGTTTTACCATAAAAAAAACTCCATAGGAAATATATCATGGACGTTCCCAGCCATGTTTGCCGAAGGGGTAGGTTTGGCCGAAGGGGTGTTCCTTATAAAATCATCCAGACCTGCTGGGAGGTGGAATGGTTACGCTCCTTCCCTTGCTGGTCTGTTGATTTCCAAACTTGTAGCAGTATTCTTGTTTGGTTCTGTCTGGAAAATGCATTTTGATAGATGTTTGCATTCCATCCGATCCACTTCATCATTTCCCCATGATCACAACTTGGGAAAACATGGAAAAACATGGCCAATCAGCCAGATACCCTGCAAAAAATGCCAAATTCTTAGCTGTTGAACGTAGATAATCCCATACCAAAAGACTGAAGGATTAGTTTCTACCCATCTAAGATTGGCCTAGAAACATGGACAACCATCTTGTAACTTACATTTCCCAATTTCAAAGTTGCTGAAGAAAGTCTGCGACCAACTTCGCCAAGTCTCCAGACTTCAGCAGCAACTTAATACTCAACTCGCCTCGCCAAAGCAGCTGAAACCATCCAGACCATCCATTTCTTGGTGACGAGAAAACAACCAGACCCGAAAATGACCTATTCAGAATACCTCCTAATCGATTGTTTCAGCTAATTGGCCCTCATTGGCCAAGATGAAATTCAGAATACCTCCTAGAAAATTACCTAATCGATCCTAATTGGCCATAGATCTTAGAAAAAACACCTCATAAGTGGATCTGATGTGATGATCTGCCTGATTTGCCTGAGGGAACAGGTTGGAAGCCCACCGAGTTTGGTCGTCAAACCTGGATGCCTCTGGTGTCAAACGTGGCTGGAAGCGAAAATCAACGATACATGGTGAATTTTCCAGCCACCTTCGATTACAGGAGGGTAGCTGTAATTAGGTGTAATTGCCATAAACCCAAATCATGGAAGTTATAAACCAACCTATCTAGGGCTTCCAGCCTTTGTATCAAACAGTCAGTTGGGATTCTCATCCGATTTCTCGGGTTCAGAATCGGGAGTTTTTTGGACGTTGCTACCCCATTCTGTAAGAATTACTTCAGAACATATGGCACTATGGATCCAAAAGCCATCCATATCTGGGTTTTCACAGCCAAAAAGGCTGCCCATGAAATCTGAGTAATTCTTGCTAATCAACGTGACAATTTCCTGCCGCTCACAACAGACTCATGTCGAACAAACATATTCCAATCCAGCTATGGAGTATCATAAGCTTCGACCATCCCAATTCACTCTTCGTGATTTTTCTTTTTTGTGATGTACAAGGTGGCCCCCCAAGATAGCGAAGTTGGTGAACATAACTCGAGTAACTATAGTTTATGGAAGATATTGATAGATGTATCGAACATCACTGGGAGGGTCCACCTTGTATATATAATTCATTTGGGTTTGTCTGGCAATGGGGGGGCGCAAAATTGATGGTAAAAACTATCATTTTCCTTTAAAGACCACGGCTATGGTACACAACATTTTCAGACACACCCATTTTAATCTGCGTGCTACAGGATGGGGCCCCCAAGATAGCTAAGTTGAGATATAAGTGGCTGAATTCTATGGTTTATGCTAGATATAAGTATAGATAACTATAGTATTCATGGGGTTTATAAACCAACGTTCACATCACTGGGGGGCCCCATCCTGTAGTTACCCTGAAAAAGTGGTCAACAAGTCGGATCACCCCAACAGAACATCTCTTGGATGAATGGCGATGAAATCGCCAATATTTGGAGGGATTCACCAAGAACTATGGCACTTATGGGGACGGATATATCTGGGGATTATCCTCCATAAGATGGCTATTTTGACCAGGATTATCCCAGGATTTTGGGGAACATCCAAAAAAACCATGATTTTATCCTGGGAACATCCATTTTGACCAGGATTATCCCGGGATTTCATCCAGATTTTGGTGTGAAAACCCATGGCACCAGGGTGCTATGACATGCTATGACCCACAGCTGGCGCTTCCCAGCTGTTCCCAGCTGTTCCCAGCTGTTGCAACAGGTGGCTAAAGCTCTTCTCGGTCATTTCTTCGGGCACATCCTTACAATTTGCTGCCACCCAGTGGAGGTTTGTTGGTTTGTAACCCCCATAAACTCTATATATATATATATACATACACACACACACATATATATATATACATATGTATATGCATATACTGTATATACATGTACATATATATATGTGTATATATATATATGTATATATATATATTTGTATATATATATATATACAAATGTGTATATTTATTAACATGTATATATATATATAGTGTATATACTTATATATACATACATACGTGTCCCATACGCCCTAGTTTGTGGAGCTCGAAAGCAACTTAGCTCTCCAGGGGAGCCCAGTTGTAGGCGCCAGTGGAATCGTTCTGATTTTGGGTACCTGAATGATTAACCCCTAAGTGAAAGGTCAATATTTGGATGTTTTAACCTATCCGAAAACTATGCTTGTCCCAAAAAAGATTCTCCATTTCTCTGGATTTCCTGGACAAACAAAAAAAAACATCACCTTCAGCAAAGCCAGGTTTATATATGGCTTGGCCAGCCACCTATTCATCAGGGTTTTGGTTCGCTCCATGCATCCCTTGCGACGTTTTTAACAGATCCTCGCCTATCCTCGCCACGACCTTTCGGAGGCAAGCGTCTGTCTGGATGTGTTGGGCAATAAATGCCAGCTGTTCCAAGAAACCTCAAACAGTGCCGCAGTGCCTTTCGACTTTGGGACAGTGTCCTGTGACTCTTTGTAGAGATTGATCGTGGATATATGAGTAGCAACATGGCAGGGCACCCCGTTGCCCTTATCAAGATTTTTTGTTGGTTGTATCAGTTGTATCCCCAAAATGTTTTTGGCCCCCATCATCTCTCAAGTTTTGCTTCTTACCGCGAAGCGAAGCTCTCGTTTCTAGTGCCAAAAATTCCCCGCGGTGTTGGAAATTGACTCGAACGACAGATGCTGTTTTCTGACCACAGATCTTCACTTGTTAAACAATGGATATATAGTTATTAGTAGCATTTTATACGCTATTTTCATATGCTATTAGTACACAGACTTTTTCTTTATCCCAAGCAACTGACTTGTCGCATGCAATGGTAATCCTCCGCAAAGGTTGTTGGAAGACCAACCTGCTGTCGCCCAACCACCTGGTGCTGGAAGGCTGCGAAACGACATGTTTCTGCTTGGTTGGTTGAGAATGGGAATTCATCAACTAAGAATCTGGTTGGTGGTTGAGCCCTACCCCTCTGAAAAATATGAGTTGGTCAGTTGGGATGATGAAATTCGCAGTATATGGAAAAATAAAATTCATGTTCCAAACCACTAATCAGTAATCCATTAAGTGAGTATATAATATTATGATATTTCACTAACCTGAAATGTTCGGCTATTTGGGGATGATTCCCCATACTACTCATGATTCCAGTGAGGTCGTAGTGACGTCGTAGTGAGGTCGTTATTATTTTATCCAGATTAAACTAAGGCGTGATTTCATGGTGATATTTAATGCTTTCTTCTTTCCCAAACTACTGGTCAATGGTCATTTCAGGATCCTAAAATGGAGGTACCAACCATATATAAGGTCTATGTAAGGGCTATGTAAGGGAATATCCCCACAAAACATGGCCTTATATGGTACTGTACCTCCATTTTAGGATCCTGAAGATCTCCCATTGATATAATATTCCAACTAATCACCAACCAAACAGGGTGTTGAGCACTTGGATGGTCATCCCCTCCAAAAATATGGCCAAGTTTGGATCCATCCAACCATATAACAACATGACAATATGACGATATAACTTATCTGGTTGGTGGTTTCAACCCCTCTGAAAAATATGAGTTGGGATGATGAAATTCCCAATGTAAGGAAAAGTAAAATTCATGTTCCAAACCACCAAGCAGTTATATATATGTATACTTACATAGTTATGTATAACCATATATCACCAAGAACAAGTGACAAGTGATGAAGACTTGATTTTCCGTCACTACGTGGGATGGTAGGATGGAAACATCCAACTTGAGGATCTCCGCCATTGGGAATGGTTGAATAATGGTTGAAAAGCACATGTATATATTATTAATTTATATTATATAAAAAAAAATACATATATATATATATACTAAATATCAAGATTTAATACATCTATAATCTATAATCAATATATGAGACTTCAAACCATCCAAAAGGCGAGTTTTTGCACGGGATTTCAAGGCCGCGATGAGGGCATTCAGTGGATTTTTGGGGTACCCGGGATACCCTGTTTTCCGAGACTCGTGACATTTTGGGTTTTCCGACTGTTTACATGGCCATCTGGTTAGGACTAACAGGGATTAATATGGATACTAATGGGATAATTATGGTGGTTAATAGTGGTTAATAATGGTTAATGAGATATACCATCTGGTTATGACATTCACAGTTTGCCATGGAAAATCCCAACCATAAATGGAGCTTTTAATGGGAAAATCATCTATAAATGGGCCATTTTCCATGGCTATGTTAAATAAGAAGATGGTATCCTAATTCAGGCAAAGATGAACAAAGTCACACTTCAGAACAAAGTCAGACTTTTGTTTTCCAAAATGCTGCCCAATACTTAGACAAGTTGGGGTTCATATAACTCCAATTTCACGGGAGGGTTTATTATGGTTTATTATACTTATAACTATGGTTAACTCAAATAACTATGGTTTATGCTAGATATATCGAACTACTTCATGGGGTGAATCTAAACCAACGTTCACATCACTGGGTCACTGTGTAACCTACCCCAATATGCGCCTGTCATCTCAACCAATCATCTAAAAATAGTATGGTTGAAGAACACAATTATATTTGACACTCCCCAGAAAAGAAAGGTCTCATTTCTAGTCGATTTTCCATTGGGACGCCACTCACATCATCGACAAACATCAAATCCAGGTTTATGAGAATCTAATAGGAAATTGTCATATCGGTCCACAATTATAGAATATGAGTTATAATTCCATATTTACATGAGTTATAACTATCTTATTAATGTTGGTAAAACAATGTCATAAACCACCCTCAATTTCACCATTTTTATAGGTGCTATGTTTACCATTCCCAAATGGGTGGTTATCATGTATTGTTTTCACCACATTAGTACGTATACATTAGTCATAGCTGGAAACATCATAGAATGTGAGTTATATTTATTATAGTTCCATAGTTGCATGAGTTAGTTATATCTCTCTTAAATTAGGAATTATATCAATTATAATTGAGTTAGGAATTAGCCTGTGTCAAAATTTCTAAGTCTGTGTCCAAATGAATTAGTAATTATAGCTAACCATTATTGAAATTCCTTAAATAGTATCAACTGTATAACTATCAATATAACACTTTAGTTACATGATTTAGTTATAATTATTATACTGGTTGGTGGTTTCAACCCCTCTGAACAATATTAGTCAGTTGGGGTTACTATTCCCTATATATGGAAAGTCAAAAACATCATATTCCAAACCACCAACCATATTATAAGTTGGTTTATAAATCCCATTCACTATAGTTATCTAGTTCGTTATATCTACCATAAACATCTATAAACCTTACACAGACATAATAGGCCATTTGTCTGGCCTCCAAGGTAGCTGCGTAGGTGAGGTAGCCTTCCCGTTGAACACTGGACACAGCCCTGAAGTCCTGCCAAATTCGCCCTTGGTGAAATGGAGAAAACCCAGGTTTTTTTTACCATAAAATATAGTGGTTTCCTGTAAAATTTGCCTTCGGGTGATATGATAGAAAGGGGAAGTCATGGTTTCTACACTCAAAACATTAATACATTGCATATTACATATGTTCCCTTGAATGAACTCTAGGAATGCACTGGTTTGAAACCTCATTTTCTGTATTCAAAAAACCATGACTTGGGGTATACAACCAATTTTGACATGACAAATCTTGGTTGGACCCTGCTGTCCTCGTTTGGGACGAAAAAAACATCCAGTTGAGGGATCATCCAACGTGAAGTAACTGGTTACCAAAAACTATAGCTATCCTGTTGCTATAACCATTGCCAATCTTAGATACCCTGCAAAAAAATAAATTAAAATCTTTGCTGGTTAGTAGATATTCCCATTGATACCAAAAGACTAAAGGATTAAAGTATCCATGTAAGGTTGAGCTAGTTAACATCTATTCACCATAACCATAAGGATTAACCCATCATATGTTATCCCATCCATCATATGTTTAACCCAGTTATGGGACTGACCTGGTGGCCACGATCATTTGGCACTTTCGATTCTTGGAATAATCCTCCAAGTTGTAATTATCAAACATTATTAATTAAACTATCTAATTGGATATATATATATTATATTGGTTAGTAGGCCTTTATACTAGTTGGATCTAGCTGGTTGGTAGGATTTCCCACAATGGCTTGTGACGATCACAAAAACCTACTAGGCACTATCATTAATCGATTATCAACCCCATATAATCAGCCAGCAGAGGGCTTGAACCGTGCTCAAATGAATGTTTGGATTTTATTTAATGTATCTTAGTCTTGATGAACTCTTGACTCCTCGTGCCATAGTCCATCAGACACCCCCTTCTGACTGGTTAACAACTTGCATATACCCTCTGGTAAACTAACAGAACTATGGAAAATCATCATGTTTAATGGTAAATCAACTATAAATGGCCATTTTCAATAGCTATGTTTGTTTACCAGAGGGTAGCTTTACGGACGGAAATTTCAAGGGGATGGCATTCTCTCCCAATCTCAAGGTACTCCTACTTCATCTGGACAACTTGCAATAGTTCCCAAACATGTTCTAAAAATTGGCTGGTTGGTGGTATACCTGCCCCTCTGAAAAAATATGAAAGTCACTTGGGATGATTATTCCCAATATATGGAAAAATAAAAAATGTTCCAAACCACCAACCAGTTGAGGTTGTCAAATTGATTCGATGGTTGGGAAAGGGGAGTTGGGTCGGTGTGTGTCGGTTATGTCGGTGTCTTTCTGCCACTATAAATGAAACACCGACATACAACTTCATAGAACTATATAACAAATGAACATATTACAGGGTTCATTGAATTTATTGAAATAACATTACACTATAGATGCATCATGATGAACATTGATGAACTATATAATGTAACTTCAAAGAACCATCGACCACGGTTGAGTCCGAATCTGTTGCTCCATACGTGGCTGGGAAATCCCAAAACGATTTATTTCCATGGAGGTTTCGATGGAATCATCGAACGAAATTGCCGGAGAAACTAGCAGTCTGCGAACTTGAAAATGGTGATTTATAGTTGATTTACCCATTGAAAATTGTGATTTTCCATAGTTATGTTAGTTTATCAGAGGGTATTTGTCAGTTTTCAAATATATCCTTATTTCAGTCAATTACTATCCATGAATGATATGACTGATATGACATGGATAGTGAATGATTGTAATAATCATCATAATCATTCTTTTTAGTACTATAATATCCTGGTTGGTGGTATACCTACCCCTCTGAAAATATGAGTTCGTCAGTTGGGATGATGACATTCCCAATATATGGAAAGTCATAAAATTCAGGTTCCAAACCACCAACCAATTTCAGTGTCCCGATAACAATATTTGCAGATCTGATCAAATATTATCAAATATGGCTATGGATCACTAGCTATAGATACCATTTTTAGGGGAGATGAACATCCATAAATCCCAGCTATTTTGATGTGAACTACAGGGGGACAAGGTTTTGACATATCCCCACATATGATGGGTTCCGAGGTCGCCATTTTCGACCACCGCGATCTCCGGTGGTTCCCGTCCGAATCGCGAGCCTGATACAAATGGTCCCAGTCGCTGGTGTAGGTGCCATAGCCATAAGAACCATTCGCCAAGTTGCCAACCTACATGGAGCATGGGTTCAACATAGCTGGTAACACCCATGCTACATGGATGGTTCCCAACCTACGGAATAAACATAGCTTAGCAAATACATGGTTCCCAAGCTACATGGAGCATGTTCACACTAAACATAGGGATGGGTTAAAAAACCCTCAAAAAACACCAGCTTTGAGGAATTTTCAGGGAATGGGTATTTCAGGATCCTAAAATAGAGGTACAGTACCATATTTCTGGCCATATTTTGTGGGGATATTCCCTTACATAAGCCTGAAAAATAGGCCTTATATATGGAATCGGTACGTCCAATTTAGGTTCCTGTTGCATGGCCATTGAGGGAATCACCATCCATATATTTTAGGGTACCACCCGCGTAGCCTTTCCAGCCCCTTGCTGGAGGATCTTGGAGGATCTGGTTGGCGGTGATCCATGGGGGATCAATAGCATTGATGTTTTAATGAGAAAAACATGAGAAACACTGTGATTAATAGTGATCATTATTGAGAAAATTGATGTTTTAATGAGAAAAACATTAAACACTGTGATTAATAGTGATCATTGCTACTGATTTAACTGAACTTTTTTTTCAAACAACAATTATCAATGATCATTTGAAAAATATCAATGATCAAACTGTGATTTAATAATGATCAATAGCTGTTAATAATGATCAATAAGTGTTTCGATTTTTTTCAATTTTCCCACTTCAAACAACCTCCATTGAAAAGCTTCGATGAACTGCACAGTTTTCTTTTCCGCCGCTCAGTTGATACTCAGGGGCTTGGCTGCCTGCTTCGCTCCCCCGAGGAAAAAGGCATTTTACACAGCACTGCCAGTCAGAAAAATGGACCATCAGACTTACCATCCATTTCTTGGGCCCCATAGCATAGCACAACTACCCAGCATCCAAATGTTTACGGAGCATGTTTCGATCGTCTGCAAGGAAATCATCAAGATTGGAACCGTATATAATAAATATCAACACTATTGTACGGCCAAAACAATCCAAAACAGTAGTATTGTTTTTTTAAATATCGTTGACAACGTTTGACAACATTGTTGGCTGGGCAGTTTTTTCGGGTACAGTCCTGCCCAATTGAGCCGAAGGACAAAGGTTTGCAACGCCACCACCAATTTGTCCAGATTTTCGGTTTGAATGTCCTGCAGGGGGGCCACGAGTGCCTACTAGGGTAATATAAAGATGTTGTCCGCAACCTTAACGTTCGCCCAGATTCATGATTGTGACATAACAGAACAATATGTTGATTGGGGAAATAATATCAACATTATCTTCATGAGGGATCAAAATTCGCCACCCCTTATGACCAATATGTTGAAATGGGGTAATAACATCAACTTTATCTTCATGAGGGTTCAAAATTCGCCACCTCCTCAGAACAATATGTTGATTGGGAAAAAACAACAACTTTATCTTCATGAGGGATCAACATTTGCCACCCCCTCTGAACAATATGTTGATTGGGATAATAACACCAACTTTATCTTCATGAGGGATCAAAATTCGCCATCCCCTATGGCCCTATGACCAATGTTGAATGGGGTAATAACATCAACTTTTTCTTCATGAGGGATCAAAATCAGGAAGGCGGGACATCAACTCCGGGCAAACGTCCAGGTTGCAGCGAAGATGTTTCAACACAGCCATTTTAGTGACATCGGTTTCGGAAGTCACGGGGGTACCACCAAATTAGATCAAATTAGACCATACGTAGTATTGAAAGCATTTGAAAGGCATGGTTTTGGATAAGCATTTTTTGGACCAACTTAGTTGGCACAAGCCTTCCTTGGACCAGAGCAGTTTCCATCCTCGCTTCTTGGATTATTGGATCATCCCATCGGAAAGCTGTCCCTGAAGCGATTGGACCAACCTACCTAGGTTATCGACCGTCAGACAGACTGCTATTCTGATATCGACCATTTGATTTTGATGACTAAACCGGGAAGCAATGATATTTCATGTTAGATATAATGTTTGATATAATGTTAGATATAATGTGGCTGAGTCGTCTGATTTGGAGATTTGATGACATTTAAGATGAGCTATCCAGAGATAATCCCAGCCTTCCTCACCGGGGCCCTTCACCACGGGACACACCTCAGCTCCCTCGCGGATGATGCGCCAAACCTGCACATGGAAAGCCACCGCTGCAGCCCCCGCACAGTGACTACTAGTTGGAACAGTGAAAAAATGTAGATTTACCCTCTGGGTTATGACTAACATAGCCATGGAAAGATCCACCAATTTTTAATAGCTAAACCATCTATAAACGAACCATTTTCCATGGCTATGTTAAATAACCAAAGGGTAGCTATAAAAATCTATAAACTTCTATATGTGATGGAATTCTTCTTGTGATTTTCCATTCAAATGTTTGATTACCAGGGATTTTTCACTGCAGTTGGGGACGTAATACTTGAAGCTACTTCCAGTCATTACTGCAATGGTTGCGGTTATAGTCAGGATTAAACCCATCAGTTGCGACGGTTGGGGTTGAAAAAAGGGGTGGTATTTTCCCGAAATCAGGGATGCCTCCACCAATAAAACATGACAATGGAAATTCCTCTATACCCCCCAGTAAATTAACATAGACCCTGGCAGATAGGGGTTGGAAGATTAGTTTCCACTAAAAATTGGTGATTTTCAGGGTCTATGTTAATTTACCAGAAGGTATGGAGGTTTCAATGGGAAACTTATCTATAGAGCTTGATTTTGCATTGCCATATTTGATTACCGAAGGGTATCCCGTCAAAAATTGCGGATAATATTGGCAAATGCTGGGGATAAATATTGGGGATTCTGTTTGGTGGATTTGGTGGAAAACTAAATGTTGGGGATGAGATCGGTCTATATCAAGGATGACGCAAGCAATGGTCAAACAGATCATATAAGACTATAATCCATTATTGATATAGGGTTTACATGTCAATGTACAGTACTTGTATTTTTGTCCTATACCCCTCATGAGTGGCGGGATACATACAATCGTTATTCTACAACATAAAGTCAGGGGCAAATCATCCCGGCGTTCGGCCCAGCCTTGTCTAAAATCGCTTGTCTTGCGCTGGGCGTGCATTTACCTTGGCATTTTTCAGCGATCGGCAGGCCATTGGGCACGATGATACACTGGAGTTCTAGTGGGACATTCCCCTGGTGACCCGCATGATGGCACTTATATGATCTTATATGATAGCCAAAGTGCTGCTGATAGTGGGTGGTTTCAAATCATGTCACTGGCATCCAAGGATGGAAGAAAACTTTTTGGAAGCCCCAAAATCACCATATCGATCTGGTTGATGGCTTCAACTCCTCTGAAACATATGAAAGTCAGTTGGGGTTACTATTCCCAGTTGGAAAAAAACAGTTCCAAACCACCAACCAGTGATTGTGGAAGGCTCAATCTCATGTGTTACCTTAATTTTCTTCGGTTGAGTGCTTCGGGATTGGCCGCAGGGTCACAGGACCTTCGCTCGAAGGGTTCAGAGGGCGCTAGCCACTGGCGGAGAATGCCCCAATCCAATTATCAACCATAAAAATCACATAAAAATCTACTTATATCCCCAAGGTGTGAGTGTTACCCTCTGGTAAACTAACATAACTATTGAAAATCACCATTTTTAATGGGAAAACTCACTATAAATGGCAATTTTCAATAGCTATGTTAAATTACCGGAGGGTAACACCTATGAAAACTGGTTGGTGGTTAAAAAACCATCTTGAAAAATGATGGAGTTCGTCAATGGGGTTTAGGATGACATCCCATATATGAATATATATGAAATGGAAAAGAATCCAAATGTTCCAAACCATCAACCAGACACATCAGACACCGCCATCAAATCCCCAATAAATTCGCCATCAAATCCCAAATCTCCATGATTCTCCGCCGAAAACCATGGTTCAATGACGAACTAATCATCAACCCCACTTTATTTTACGCCCAGCAACGACGAAAGACCCACACGGCGGTGCTTTCCTTGCCATCTGTCTGTCTTCCTGGTGGAAAACTGATGATTTCACCGTGATTTCATGTGGATTTCACATGGATTTACCCTCTGGTAAAATAACAGTTCGCTATTGAACATGGCCCAGTCGAAATAGTGGATTTACCCATTGAAAATGGTGATTTTCCATCGTTGTGTAAACGTTTACCAGAGGGTAAATTATAGTAACCTGAAATGTTGGGCTATATTGGGGATGTTTCCCCTAAAATAAACCATGAAAAAATAGTGAGGGAGAACAGTGAGGTCGTGATGAAATTTACCCAGGTATATGGTTGCAAGCCAGGGACCATTTCTGTGATCGCCTTCATCTAATCCGCAGAAACAACACCAAAATTTCTGGTGTATGACACCACCATCAACCCCCTAGAATCAGAAGTCTTCTGCGTACTGTGGCCCATCCCAGGAATCCTAAGCAGGTTATAACTCTAGTTATAAGTGGACATTGCCTCTGCTTATCCTAGGATTCATGGGATGATCCACCGGCAATTTGACTCTGATCCCCAATCAAAATATTTCCGAAAAAAACCTACCATTACCATTTCTGACTCTGCAATTTCTCACCATATTTTATTGCTTCGTCAACTTTGTAGGGATGGGCCATCCCGAAAAAATCGTGGCTTCGATTGTTCTGTCCTTCCACTTTTTCGAAGAGAGACTTACTGGACGCAGGCCATTCAAAACGCTGATAGATTTCCTCAGCTTTGACCAAGGAGTAGCCTCTGGTGTCGTGGCTGGAAGATTCCCGAAAAAAGTGGAGCTTAGCTGTGCCAGTAATCTGTGGAACATTGTTCCATCAAGCCACTGTGATTTCAAGAAAATTGTTGCAAAATCCCATCCCCGTTCATATTTTTCACACCCCCTAAACGAAACCATGGTGGATGTAGGGAAATTCCACATTCCATTGGAACCATACAATGGGTGTTTAATATGAACGGGGGATGGGATTACTCGAAAGCATTGTTTCCTGTGGACTTTTCAGTGGATTGTTGCAACAAAAACCATCAAAAACGGTCCAGCATGGTGCAGCCCGAAGCAGTGTTAGTTTGTGGACGTCGGGAACTCAAAGATGGCTTCCTCTTGGAGGAGCCTCCAGGTTTTATATCTTGGTTTTCAGGACCCATCTGACCTAATGTATATTTGTACAATAGTTATTATATCTACCCTTTGGTTATTTAACATCTGGCACCAGTCGGGCACCAGGCGTTTGGTGATCTGTTTCTGCCCAACTTTTCCCGCGTGAGCAGTGTTCGACCCGAGATGTCCATACGGCTTGCTTGGTTAATGTTAAGAAAGTAACATAGATGTGGAGTTGACCCACCATTTGTAGACGATAAAATCCATGGGGGTGTGTCTGAAAATTAGTGTACCCCTACACCCAATGGTTAATGATCATTATCCCTATTAAATGGCTATTTCATTGGGAATATACCCCATTTTCAGACAAATCCATGGATTTTCCACATCGGCCCCTGGTTAAGAACAGCCTGGTGGACTTTCCAACTCTTCCCTGTCGAGAGGCATCTGGAATCCAGGTCCACGTTCCATACAAACTCACGTCGAACAAGGTACCTGGAGGGCCGAAGGAAAATGTGTGGAACATCATAGGCTTAAAGGTGAAAGTGTTTATATATATATATAATATTTTTATATTACAATATATTATATCATATATATATACATATGTAGAGATAATAATCAAATCATGAAAACAACAATTTTTATAGAAATATAGGACGATATACAATACACTTACTATATACGTACATATGCTAAGATGTATGAATGTTAATAATTATGTAAAGTAATATAGTAAGATATATCTGGGTAAATGATAATATTTCACTAACCTGAATAGTTCGGCCACTTGGGGATGATTTCCCCTTATTAACCACGATTCCAGGCTTCGGTCGAACAGTGAGGTCGTTATAATTTACCCAGATATACAGTATGGAAATCAGTAAGAATCTGGTTGGTGGTTTACCTACCCCTCTGAAAAATATGAAAGTCAGTTGGGATTATTATTCCCAATATATGGAAAAATGAAATTCATGTTCCAAACCACCAACCAGTATAGTAAGAATATATACAGGCTATCCATATATCCGATGTGAAGGCTGAGTCCAATCGTCCGGCCAGGTGCCGATGTCGCTCTTGCCATCGACGTAGGGAAGGAGTTTCTCTTGCGCCAACAAACTCATGTTCCTCAGTTGGCAAGGGGATTTAGTCGGATTAGCGGATTTAGCCACCAAAAAATTGCGATTTCATCGGATTTTAAAGGGACTTAACATGATTTAACCATACAAAATGGTGATTTAATGGGAATTCGAAGGAATTTAAGGAACAAATACGTTCGGTGGGGCCCCCGTTTAGGATAGCTATGTGGTAAACATGAAACTACTAGTGCCTTATTCCCTCTAAACTTCGTATAACCTTGCATCTATTTTCTTAAAATCAATATCAATGAATATACAGCTTCATAGTATACATTATACTAATACGATATCATATGTATATATATATATATCATACTTTTCATACATAAATACGATAAATAGCACCAGAAAAAGCACCAGCGATTGAAAACAGCAAAAACCACCGCCGGGCATTGATACTCAGTCCGAGCGACTGGATAATGGTGCCAGGATCATGTGAATGATACACCGTGCAGTCCATGTCCTTGGAAACTACGGACCAACAACATCAAAGCCACGAAGGAGTAGCCGAGTAGCCCTCCAAATAATAGGGACAAGAAAATATTATGTTAACCAAGCGGATATGATATTAACATGAAATTAACCAGATAATATGATGATTCTATTCAGTTATGATTCTATTCATGATTCAACCAACACATATGATGGTATCAGGAGATATAAAAATTGGATGACTGGATGTTGGATACCCAAAGACATGTTAGCAATTTTTCCTTGAATTGGATAGAATGGCTAATTTGCATCAAGGGCTATCAAGGACTAATTCAGAGATCCTGAAAGAAGATGGCTTAGAGATGGCTTTTTTAGATGGTGAATAAACCCCCAATAACAAGGGTATTTACTAAGTAATCCCCTGATCAGTGGCTGTTGCTAAGAGATGGTTCATAGATGGTTAAGATATGCTGAAAGAAGATGGTTAATGATGAGTTCAATCTGAGGGGATTACGAAGAAGAACTCCGAGCACAATTTCATAAGGGCTTACTTGGTGGCGAACTACCCACGAATCCTGGTTGTAGGTTATATATCGCTGTTTTTTTTAAAGTGGGATAAGGGGGGCACTAACCCTAGGATTCGTGGGTAGTTCGCCATCAAGTAGGGAGGCTTGATAACTTTGCAAGCGACCTCGGAACGACCTTACCATAACCAACGTATCCAGCGTGGGATTTTCTATAGTAAATCCATTGTCAATCTTTGGTAGTTCACCAAAAAATAAATCTTTTGATATCTTCTATAATTATAGCAATTTCTAAAGGATATCATTAATAGCAATTTATTTTTAAAGGATTAGCTATAACGATATAACGATATAATTATATCTATGGTGCCCATTTATAGCAATTTCAACCAGGATTAGCTTCTACCTATCCAAGGTTGGGGATGAATCCTCGATTCACCAGATCTCCTGCCAGCCACCGCAACGGAAGGCAAGTTGGAGGGGCTTTCTTAGACTTCATGGTGATTGACCGCCATTTCTATTAATCATGTTTGAAAAAACAATAGTAACACCCCCTAAATAGATTCTATTACATTCTTTTGGGGGAACCGGGGGGCGCGGAAAGCAATATCTCAAAGCGTTTCAGGGTTAGGCAGGTCGGTCAATCGGAGGGCTCGCGGATGCTGCCGATGCGGGGCCCGAAGTTGGTGCAGCGTAGACGCTAGCGGCTTGGCCCTTGTACCAGAAAATTCAAAACTACGGCAATTGCGTGAGATTCTTGTTTTCACAGTTATTATATACTTATTTAATCTTATTTATTGCCTGGTGCCTTTACTTCGTTCTATATGCTATTCAAATTGCAAATGGATTTTCTGCTGTTTGAAGCAAACAAAACAGAAAACAACACAGAAAACAACACAACCAATGGTGTCAGTATATTATCGCCTATTCACTTCTGGGTATATTATTGTCTTTACTGACGCCTCACAGAGGGGTGTCTTTTGTGAGCTCGAAAAAAGTTACTTTTTAAACACGGTGTAATAAGAGGTCAACACATTTAAAACTGAAGTTGCTTTTCAAATTTAGATCTCTTGCTTGAAAAACAGTGGCTTGAGAAAGGCAGCTGTTTTTCATCGCACTGGGAACAACCAAAAACAGCAAAAAAAGCAAAAAACAACACGGCCAATGGTGTCAATATATTATTGCCTATGCACTTCTTGATTCATAAATGGATTTACTGGCGCTCCAAGGTGGGTAGCGTTTGTAAGCTTCAAAAGCATCGTTTTTTTTTTTCAGGGTATAGTATAGTAAGAAATCATCTTTTTTGCAACTGGCAATGTTTTCCGGTTTTTCCTCTTGATCAAAGTGCAAACTATGTCTTGTGAAAGGCAATGGCTTTCTCTGCAATAGAGAATCAAATCAACACAACAGAAAACAGCATTGTCATGTGTAGCAATTTTTTATTGCCTTTGAAGTTCTTAATATATTATTGTTTTCGACTGGGCCTCAGACTGTGGCCTTTCTGAGCTAGTTATTTGAGATTTCTATATCAGGGCACCATTGTAAGGCTTCTAATAGAAGAGATGGGTGAACCTCAACATCTCTTGAAACCAATGTTATTGGCAATTGTGGGGCTTGGATCGAATGAAAACAGGGCTGCTGGCACCAACAAAGGCATCCCTTCACAACATGATATATCAACTTCGAAAAACCTTTGAAACAAGCGCGGCTTGGGATTTATGAAAACTTTGCTGTTGGAACAGGTAACATGGAATACAACAAGTAATAAGGGTCCTTTTACTTTGAGTATTGTCAACAAAATGTAATTTTGACGAATCAGTTTATTATTGGCTCTGCTTTACAATTGTTTTTCAAACATTACCCTTTCTGAAACAGAAGAAACACTCCTGGCACCCTCTTCAGCACTGCTTGGTCGTCATGGCATCTATGGTCTCATCAAAAATTCTGGATGGGATGTAGATGGGTGCAGCCAAGTGGGTAAACCCCAGCTATTCGAATGGTTCAATTCCCAGTAAATCCACCTGGCTGGGTAAACATCAACATTTTGCTGGATAAAACACCTACAGTATATTCGTTTCTTGCATACCCTGAGGCAAAGCAACACACACACATATATATATCTATCTATATGGAAATCCCGAGTTAGTTTCCCTCAAAAATAGAAATAGAAATTCTTTCCTAGAAAATAACAAATAGAAATAGAAATCTTAACAGTTTCCCCAGAAAATGCTGAACTTACTCTCCATATCGAAATTCTAAAACATTCTAAAACCTCGCTGGTTCGCTGGGTCCAAGCAGCAGACGTCAGTAACTTTGAGCCGGGACAGGTCATGTCGTAGGCTCGGCACAAAGGCCTCAGCAAGGCCCAATGGCCTTTGTATTCCCGGTTGAATAAGGAGGTTTTTCCATGGGAACATCATCAGAAAATGTGGTTTTAATGGTTTTTAATCGTCATTTTAACCACATTTCATCAGAAAATCAAGCGAAAAGGTCTGTAAATCTGGTTTTAAATCTGGTTTTAAATGGGAAAAGACGAAGGAAAAATGATGAACAAATGGGACATTTTCCAACAAACCATGTTTGATTACCGGTACTCATCCCACGTATCACAAGTTTTGTTGAGATATAACTGGGATGAATCCAATGACCGGGGGGTCAAAGGTGTTTGACAAATGGGATGATCAGTAAACTTGCTGGTTGGTGGTGCAATAACCATTTTGAAAAATGATGGAGTTCGTCAATGGGAATGATGACATCCCATATATGAAATGGAAAATAAACATGTTCCAAACCACCAACCAGCTTGAGTTTTTTTTTGGCCCCGCGGTATGAGTGCGTCAAAAACTACGGTAACTTTGGTTAGTAGCTGAGTAAATGAAGAGTTTGACCCTGAAAATATCGAAACTCAGGGCAGGGTCGAGCTGTTTGATGCAGGGATGGTGGTAGATGAGTAAAACAGTAGCCTCTGGTAAAAGTTTGCGAACTGGAAAATCACAATTTCTAATAGGTAAATCAGCGAACTAAATGGCAATTTTCAATAGTTATGTTAAATCAACAGAGGGTAGGTTATCGTAACCATTTACTATGCACTTGGTATCTTTAATTATCTCCGTGCAGTAGCCATGTCGAATGACCTTCCAGATCTATTCTGGCTGGAATTATCATCGTCCATCATAGATAACCTGCAAACAATGCAAACATTGTGGGCGGAGTATCCCTACCTGGTGCGTAGTTACAGTGGAATGCTTCTACCCGAAACGGTGTCATCGGCTCCATGGCTGGAACAGCAACATCATTTAGTTAACGATGATTTCCCCATTATAAACATCTTCCATTCATGTCCATCAATCAACGTAAATTTCATCATTTGACATCATATCCCACTTTTTTCCATTTTTCCGATCTACCCTCTGGTGAACATACACAAAACTATAGGAAATCACCATTTTTCATGGGAAAATCCACTATAAATCACCATTTTCAAGTTCGCAAACTGTAAACGTTTACCAGAGGGTAAAATGATTTCCGCTCATATCATGACATCCAAAAAATCTTGCTATGTGGTTCATCCCCCGTTTCTATCCCCTCATAAATCATATCCCATTTCATCCACCCAATTTATATATATTATATATTAATAATATATATATATATATAAATAAAAATATATCATTCATATTCCATGCATCGTATCCTTTGAACATCCATTGATCGTGTCCCATGTTTGTTGGTTCATATCGATCACTCAGAATATATTATATCACTAAAACATACCCCATTTCATACCAACAAAATAGTTGGTTTATACCATCACATTCCCCTTTTTGCGGGTTAAAATCACGAATTTCAATTACTTATTCTCAGGAATCGGATCTATCGTGAGGAAACCATAATACAATAATATGACCTCCCGTCAAAATCCTTTGCATCTGAGTTGTTGCTATTGTCGGTTATCGCTTTTTGGGGGCCATATCGCTTTAGTATTTCGTGCACATCTCTGACAAAGAACTCCGGCAATACTAAAGCTGTGACTCATGTATATGATATATGTGGTTGGATATGTGGGTGATACAACATATATACAACATATGTTGGAGATGTATATATCATATATATATGGGTAAGCGGTGACTCATATATATATATATATACTAAAGCGGATATACCTTAGTTATATGTGGGTGATAACCCGCTTACCAGATGCACCCCCAGCCGTATGACGGTTACCAGCCGTCAGAGCACCCTTCGCATCGTTCATCCTCAAACGTTTGCAGGCGTCGGCTGCAGCAAAACCTGAGGTGTTGAGGTGTTGGAGAATACTAGAGATATCTATCGATTATCTATGTACATTAGATATGGAAATCATGGTAGTATGTGTAGATACTATAGCATCCGTTAAAATTGTACACAGCACTAATATAGTATCCAGCAAATTACTTATAGTATATATACATTCTATAAGGCATGTGTATATTTTGCATACTGTATATTAGTGTGAAGTATGTCTGTGTAAAATCCAGAAGACAAACATTTTTTGGATCCTGCTAGCGAGATTCATCGGTTTCACAAAAACCATCGATTGGGGCGGTCGCCGGGGCGGTCCAGATACTAAATCCAACAAAAAATGTGTTGGCCAACAATTACACAAATGTTTGGTTATCACCTATTACGACCTTTTTTTTCGCAAATGGCGAAATTACTGATTGGACGCCATCAGGGACAACGATCCACCCTCAGAAACATCCGCCTGAGAGTAATCGCAAGTAGCGGATCAATTGACCACTGTCAGCAGCGTGCAATAGGCAGCATGTCTCACAAAAAACCTGTTCCCTTAATCTGGTGTTTGGCACACAGCCACGATGGATCATACATCACGCCTAACCTGACACAATCGCAGGAAACATGACATTTTTCTTGACATTCGACCTGAAAATATCACCCAATTTCTGGAAGCTTATCTTCCAAGCTGGTTGGTGGTGGAGTTTTTTTTTCCACATGTAACGGTTATTGGGGATCATCCTATGTCGCTTGAATATAACAACCCAAAAAGCCTCCCGTTTCATCAAAGGTAGCAATGTGGGGCCCCCGGCCACGAAATCGCGTTCAGTTGGGGTTCACATAACTCCATTCAATTTCACTATGGTTTATGGTACGCAAATAACGAACTAGTATTCATGAGGTTTATAAACCAACGTTCACATCACTGGGGGGCCCCACATTGTAGCAATGGTAAATCCCTTGTAAATGGAAGCGAACTAATGGGAAAATCATCGAACTAAATGGATGATATTGGATGATATTCCAGCAAGACATGTTTACCGAAGGGTAACAACTATTTAAAGCCACCAACCAACCAGTTTTGATGCTTAATACAACCTCAACTTGGCGGTTTAGTGATTCAAACAAAAAGCAGGACCCTAAAATAGAGGTACTGTACCATATGTGTATATATATATATGTATATATAAATTATTCAAATGCATATTTTCCCTGACATTGCCTTTACATATCCCCTTGGTGCTCGTTGATTCCAGGGTTTCTGTTTCGGCTAGTGGCTATGGCTCCGCCCTGAAATACGTCCAAAGTTCCCTACTCATTGGCTGAATGAACTATGGTTTATGGTAGATACAACTATAGTAAATAGGCTTAAAAACCAACTTGTGACTGGGGGGCACCATCCTGTTGGTTAGATACGAACTAGTACTTTTATAATGGTTTGTAACCCCAATAACTATGGTTTATCATACTTATAACTATGGTATTCATGGGCTTTATAAACCAACGTTCACATCACGGCACTATAGAATGACCAAGAACGGGTTTAATGGGTTTAATGGATGTTCATGGGCTGAAACTAAACCAAGCAACTAGGCAACTAGGCAGTCGTTGCCAAGGTTTTGATGATTCACCATGATACAACTAGCCACGCTTGCCAGGTGAAAAGAATTGAAAAGCCACATCCCCATACAGGATGGTGCCCCCCAAGTTATAAGTTGGTTTATAACCCCCATTGACAGTAGTTATATCTACTGTAAACCCTAGTTTTTTCAGCCACAGCCATCTCAGCCATATCTCAACTGGACCCATCCCCACGTCTAGACCCCGGCTATGACCGAGACGCAGGTGTTGCATAAACTGTTCCCGGAAGGCGCCGTAGTGTTTCAAGGGTCTCTGGCACGTCTCGCCTTAGAACGGCCTGCCTTTTTGGCCCCCCAAAAAATTAAGCTGGAACTCACCGACACGACTGGGAGACTGGGATACATGTCGCATTTATAAATTCATAAATTCTGGTTTATACCATCGTGGATTATCCACGTACGGTTCATCATGGTTTATCCCAGTTTAGACATGGACAAATTATGGTTAATTTGTCACAATACGTCACAATAAGGTATAATTTGCGATAATGGTCAATACATGATATCTGGCTAAATTATAATATTTCACTAATCTGAATCTTGTGGCCATTTGGGGATGATTTCCCGTATTAAACATGATTTCCAGTGAGGGAGAACAGTGAGGTCGTTATAAACTACCCAGATGATATGGTCAATTTTATGGTATAATTAACCATAATATTAATGTTAATATTTTATGGTAAATTAACCATAATCAGTGCAGGAAATATTGATGTTAAACCTGCTACTTCCTGTCAGCAAACCTGGCTACTTCCTGTCAGCCCCAGTGACCTGGCACGGCCACGGCCAGGAAGGAGGGGAATACCATGTTTTTTTTCATGGATAACCAACAAGTATTAAATAATATACGCAACCGTGAACGGTATATAACCTTCTAATTTCTGGGTTGGATATTTTGAGCCATACATAGCCATACCCATCTTTTCTCTGCAAACACTTGAGCTTTTGGGGGTTGCAACGACTTTTTTTGACCACAACCATTAGATCATGTGTCGAGTCATGTTGCGTCCTGCAATCCTGTAGACAAAGATGGATCTCGGCCATGATCACGCCCAATATCCAAAGTTTGAATCCAAGTTTCAAAGGTTTTCCCCAACCAGTCACGAAGCATGGCAAAGTCATCCAATAAAATATGATTGGAAATATGATTGTGAATATTATTTGAATATCTATTAAATGGGCTAATTATAATCTTTCGATTCTTTCGATTTAATTTCAAAAAGACATGCAATACTTTTATGATTTAACACATTTGATTATAAATATATTGATTGGGATGTTCATCATATTTCGGCAACTATCTGCATTAACATTGCCAATCTTAGATACCCTGCAAAAAAATAATTTCTTTGCTGGTGAACGTAGATATTCCCATTATTACACAAAGACTAGTGGGATAAGTTTGTATCCATGTACGATTGACCTAGTATAAATGGAGGTTTCAATGGGAAACTTATCTATAAATCTATAAATCTTGACATTGCATGGCCATATTTGATTACCATATAGATCTTATCTAATATCTCCCATATGATGAACATCCCACTGAAATCCTGTTCCGTTTCCAAAGAACTGGAGCGACTGCAGTGGCTGTACTCAGCCTGGCGCAGCTTCCGAAGAGCGTTTAACGTGGAGATATAAAACATGTTGGTTATATGTTATATGACATAACCAATATACTACAAAACTATGCTGTAAAAATGCAATATGACATATAACCAAAATACAATATGACAGAACCAATTGAATATGACAGAACCAATTGAATATGCTATATGCTATAACAAAATACAATGTTACTGCGGTTTGGGAAACATGCACAGAGTACCACTGCACCCCCACTAAGGTCTTTTTTAAAGTTTTCACAGTCGTTGAGACGTCCTCCGACTGTTGCAACTTGGCTCAAGGGCCAATCAACTGACTGGCTCAAGATCACCGAGCCCAATCTGGAGTGAAAAGGTGTGCCAGCATCTGCCTCTTGGTGGGGTTCTCCGGGAAGGGTCTCGGTCATAGTCTGAAACCCGTGGGTTATGAGCCCAACCCCAACGCTGCCTTGAAGCAATGTCGAGCAGCGACTTCACTCAGCGTCGTCGACAAGAACGCCAAGTTCAAGCGGCTGCTCATGCTGAAGAAGTACAACATGGGACCCATGGACATGGAAAAGAAGAACGCGCGGAAACGGCAGACCAAATGCTGGACCGGCTTCTGGAGGAGATGGACGCACCTGGACAAGCACATGGGGAAAGAACAGGGACAAGATCATCAGACTCAACCCGAAGATCACTGATGGAAGGGGAAGTTGGAGAAAGTGTGATGGCACTGACCGGTGCTGGGGGAAGTGGAGCCCTAGTGCAGGTTGCGGCGGTCCGGGCTGGAGCGGGCGAACGAATCGCCCAGAATCCGGCTGTTGCGGAAGAAGTCGCAAGACCAGTGTCCTTACCACCTGAAGAACCTCCTGGACTTGAAGTGGTACGAGGAAATGGGAATGGCGGTCTGTTGTCTGGTTTGACCCCAGGTGTGAATAGTCTAACTCTTTCGGGAGTGCCTATGACACAAACACCAGTAGTTGCCCGGATGTCTGAGGGATTTCGTGAACCACCTGTTGTGGGTAATCGAGAAGAAGGACAGGGTGGAAAACACCAAAGCTCAACTGAAGTGAGTGGAGGTGCGGCTGCTGTTGTGGAAACCGTTGCTCTTTTGGAGCGACCGGGACGTTCACCTGTTGAGTCTCCTGAAGATGCACGCGTCAAACAATCGGTGCCAGCGGCACCAACAGGCTCACCTGTGATCTACCAGCCAGCGGGAGCACCTGTGGTGTATACCGCAACTGGTGGAACACAGGGTTCGCAAGTAGCTGGGATGTCCCAGCAATCCATGTGTGCTGGAGTGCCACCTACGGGAATGGTGCCTCAGTGGGGAACGGCGGTTGTGGATCCTGGGATTGTAACCGGGGTCATGGCTGCAGAGGAAACGAATCCATGGAGTGCTGCCAAGCGAGTGGAAGCTCTAATGAGCAGTCCACAAACTCCAGTGAAAGAGCTGACTTATCCCATAGTGTCGCAAGACCTGATTGATCAGGCGGACGCGAGGGAGAAGGAAAAGTATGAGGAGTTGAAACAGCAAATGATGGAATTCTTTCAACGGGGCAAGACCGAGATCCAACAAGATCGAGAAAATTGGTTAGCCACGCGGGAAGAGAAACGTGCCCTGGAACGGGTCCGAGAAGCCGGAGGAGGTCACAAGGGCTCTCAGTCAAGTGGGGGGTCTTATCAAACCGCCTCGCCGGAGCTGAAGAATGTCGAGCAGGGTTTTCCTGTGGGGCCACCTCAAGGTGTTCCACCCCAGGTACAACATGTGCAAGATCAACCAGTTCCAGGAGTTCAACATCACCATGATCAAGATCTTCAAATGCAGGCGGGAGGTCAGTTGTGGAATGTTCCTCCTGCGCCCAAGGTCGAACAAGGTTTTCGGCCGATGGATGTGTATATGAATCAAGGGTGGCTAATTGGAATACCACCGGGAGGTATGCCGCAGAGAGCGGCGTCAAGACCACCGATGGGAGTTCCTTGCATGGGAGCCACGGAAAACACAAAACACTTTTTCATCGGTGACCAACCTAATCAATGGTATAATCCTCAAGTCCATGTTGGAGGAGCACCTGCAGGACAAGATCATCGACCTCAAGGGGTTTTTGCATTTCCGGGAGGAAACACCGGACCTATGGGTGGTTATGGTTGGCCAGGGGGTCCACCGCCAGGGCAGTATGGAAATCCCGGACAAGCACCTGGTCCGCCAGGTGGTCATCAGGGAAATCCCGGTCTCCCAGGTGGTCATCAAGGAAATCCAGGACAAGCTGCACCGCCACAACAACAACAAGCTGTAGTCCAAGCAGGACCTCAGGCAGGGGGAGAAGTACCAGGCGAAACGCTAAGATCGGTCGAATTGCCGAAGCTGGACAGGAATGCAACATCTTTGGACTTTGGAGACTGGCTGACAGTTGCCCAACAGATGATTGGGGATGTGAGCTACACCACAGAGCAATGGTGGGAAGTAGTGATGACTGCTGTTGAACAAGCATACCACCACTGGTTGCAAGCGGATCCACTCATGAGGCTCCGGATGGCGCCTGTGATACCTGACATGGCCCGTAGGTGGCCTCGCACAGAGAAACGGGTGGTGGGTATGCTGCTTCAAGCCGTCCCCAAGGACATCTACGAGGACCTTGTGGCGAACAGACACATGTCAGCGGGTCAAGTCATGTTCAAGCTGTACACCGTCTTCCAACCTGGGGGACAAGTGGAAAGAACTGCCCTGCTGCAAATGTTGGTGGACTGGAAATGTCCATCTAATAATGCTGCAGAGATGGTCAACTCCATCCGGAAGTGGAGAAGATGGGTGGTTCGTGCCGAAGAACTTCAATTGGTTTTGCCCGATCCTCTGGTTTTGGCCGGAGTGGTCGCAAAAATGAGTGATGCCTTGGCCAGATTGGGGGGAGCTCAAGCTGCCTACCGGTTGTCTTCGGTGAGACAGCATTTGGGCATAGATCTCCGGCCGGGAATGCAAGAGATCAGAACGTTTTCTGAACTTCTTCAAGCTGAAGCTGGTGAAATGGCTCTCCGTCAACCGGGGAACATAACACAGGGCCCAGCGGCTAAACCCAATAATGTGGTAGGGGTGAAGTCAATGAGTGGGCCGGATTCATCTGGAAACCCACCAAAGGGCGCTTCAAAGGGAAAACCAGAAGACGCAGCAGGTTCTTCCACCGGAAGGAGGGGAGAAAAGCCCGAGCTGCCGATTAACGCGGCTAATGTGGTCCACAAGACTGCGTGCATCAACTGGCTGACAGATAAGGGATGCCAATATGCTGACCGGTGCCGATTCACGCACACTGTCCTGGACTCCAAAGATGGCCGATGTTTCAACTGTTCTGGAAGGGGACACTCCCGACGTGATTGTCCGGCGGGAAAACGAAGTGAGTCACGAGGTCCACAAGGTGGATCCGAGGAACCAAAGGTGGCCAAAACCACAAGAATCCGCTCAAGATCTCAAGAGAGGAAAAATGGTCCTGGAAAAGAGGGAGGTGCTGCTCAAGAACATTCTGAACCTACCGTGAAGATCAATCCGATGAAGGAGTCCACGGTCACTATAACCCCTGTACCAGAGGAGGCCAACAAGGTTGTGGGAGAAGTGACCAACCTTTTGAAGGGTCTCAATGGACCGGTCTTGAAATCGGTGGGGCATGGTGGGGATCATCTCGAAGTTGAATTTGATGATGGAACAGGTTTATTGGATGGTGGGGCGACACACCCCTTGAGACAGGGATCAACCGAGGAGATCAAGAACGCGGTGCAGGTCACTGTGGAACTCGCACATGGAGCTGCTCAGCTCTATCAAAATCCTGTGAATGGAACCCTCTTGTCGGAGGGACCGGTGGAACCAATTGTACCTCTTCGAGGTTTGGTGGAATTGGGATACACCATCACTTGGTCCCGTGCAGGATGTGTTGTGAAACATCCACGACTGGGAAACATAGAATGTTGGTTAAGGTCTGGGTGTCCAGTGGTTCGAAAGGACCACGCTCTGGCTCTGATCACTGAGATTGAGCACATGGAAATGGAAAAGAGGACCAACCATCGGCTCACCTTGGAAGAGCCCACGGAGAAGACCAAGAAGTGGTGGGGATCACGATTTCCGGAAACACCGGACAGAATTTGGAATTACATGCGGGGTCAAGATGAAGAAGATCCGCAAATGAACCATGATTTACCATGGAACCGGCACAAAAGAAGGAGGCTGCTCACCTCAAAAGGGGTTATAGTCCACCTTTTTGCTGGAGAAAGGGCGAAGGAATGGCGAAAGAATCCCATCAATGGGATTGAAGTCATCACTTTGGATATCAATGAAGGTCGAAATCAAGATATACACAATCCGGGAACATGGAGTTTCCTTTGGAAACTTGCAAGCCTGGGAAAACTTCTTGCTATCATTGGGGGACCTCCCTGTCGGACGGTCAGCCGATTGAGGCAGAAACAACCGGGACCAAGACCATTGCGTGGACGTTTCCATGACCGGTATGGTCTACCAGGATTGACAGACCGGGAGAAGAACTTGGCTGATTCAGATGCAGCACTGCTGCTGAAACAAATTGGCCTGTTCATAAGGTCTGAAGAATGCCGCGAGCGTCATCGTGTGAGAACCGCTTTCCTTTTGGAGAGCCCACAGGATCCGTTGACGTATGTTCCACAAGCTCGCGAAGAAGAAAGTCCAAGCTTTTGGGCATGGCCGGAGTTAATGCAGCTGCTCCGCTACCAAGGAATGGGTTTGGTATCCTTTGATCAAGGGTGCTTTGGGCACTCACGACGGAAACCGACCACGTGCCTCACAAACCTGGAGGACATGAGAGACTTGGAAGATCAACGCAGCACCAAGCACTCCGAGGCCCTGCCAAAGGACATCAAAGACCGTTGCCATTTGTCGTCCACCTGGGCGGTATGGGCACCGGGATTAAGGGCTGCCATCCGAGAAGCGCTTCACCGACATCTCAAACGGGAAGGCGATGAAACTGCGGGTGAAGAGCCACACTTGGCCAAGATGACGTCAGAG